AAATTGTTGAAGCATTTAAGGCACTGGGTGAAATCAGAGATCAATGGACCATTATGTTAAATGCTTCAAGAATGAGGGTAATTGTTATAATCATGTGATTAGACAAGCATTCTCAAATGCCTTGTTTTCCTTTTAATTAATGATGCTGGTATTATTTTATCTGTTATTATCATATTTATTGTTATTTTTGTGTTATCTCATCACCACTTTTTACTGAATTTTTAGGGGTACCTAGGAAAATGTATTTTCCTCCTAAATGCTGCAACAGAAGGATGTTTGCAGACGAAACCTGCAGGTAGTGAAGACGACTACTTCTCAAGGGAGGCAATCAGCATGCTAGATGAAATGAAGCAACTCCATACTCAACTGGAACCAAGGTCAGTACGATGTATTATTTGCCTTTTCCATATTCCATATGTAGTTGTATGACTCCATCTTTACACCAAATGATTTGTGCACAGTATTTCCTTAGAAGCTCCTTCTACTGCTTCATTTTTTCAGTGAGCTGAAGCTTGAAGGTAGCATTTCAATAATTGGAGCCCTTTGCGAGGACCTGCATTCCAGAAGGTCTACACTGGAGCCTTTTCTGCAGCGGCTATTCTTGCAACAAGATGAAAATCTTATATCTGATGAATCTGGTGGTCAATGTGATGTGGAAGAGATTAGTAGTAAGGCTGAGGAATGTAGTGAGGGTAAGAAGCCAGCTTCAGAAGCTCCTGTGACTTGCAGATCCCAAGGGAAATATAAATCCAAGAAAAACAAGAGGAATCGTGGCCGAAAACATAGGTAGATAAGGATTCCCTTAAATTCTAGAGGGTGTATATAAGTTGAGAACTCAACCTTCTATATGCACAGTAGTATATAACGTACTTTGCTTATGGCATAGACCTTTTTATTTTTTGAGAGTTACCATAGAACTTGTGCTATGACTTGAATGAACCAATGCATCTCTTTATTTTATGAACTTGATGGTGGAATCTACAGTCTCAAGTGGGCTTGCAGCAAACCACCCAAACCCAATGTTTGCTTCTACGCCACTCTGCCTGGTCCTTTACCCGACCTTTGGCGGCAGGGGTTGCATGAATGATGGAGTTCCATTTCTTCGAGACCAGGCTAGCAAAGGATCTGTTATAGAGCCAGCACCATAGCTCTTGGGCTTCCCTTCTAGACTTTGTTAATAACATCTAATGCAATGTTAAACATGTTAACAGGTAATATGGATAATTTTTAAACTTATTCATTTTATATTAAATGTTATTTAATTTTTTTTATTTTCATTTTTACCTTAAAATATAAAAATGTTTTTCTTTTTAATATTAATATTAATATTATATCAAATTAATCTAATTCAATTAAACTCATTATTATCAAATATTTAAATATTATATTATAATTTAAAGACAAAAAAATATAATAATATTACATATTAACGTTATATAATTATAAGAATCAATAACTTTTAAAGATATTTAGGGTTAATTTTCACTAAGTATTATTATTATTATTATTTTCTAAAAGTATACTTTATGATTTTTAATGTTCATTTTTATAAATTTATGTCTAGATTTTAAATGATTAATTTTTACTATAACTATTTTTATCTTTATTATTATTCATTCATAAATTAAAATTTATAAGTGTTTAAATATTAAATACTTTTAGTTTAAAAGTATAAATGTAAATGATTAATTTTTACAAAACTTATATTTCTTTTACCTAAATTGACTTTTTATTATTACTCTTACTCATTTACATCATTATTTTAAAAATAGTTATTTCAGTTTTATTATTTTTTACGTACATTCTTATTAATTTACATTATAATTATTTTTATTATTATTATTATAATTTATTTATAAAATAAAATTTATAAATGGTTAAATATTTTTTGCTTGATAATATAAATGTAAATATTTATTTTATCTAAATTAACTTTTTATGATAATTTTTTAAATATATTTTTATAAATTATATTTTTTTAAAAATAATTTTATTGACACTAAACCGGTGTCCATGAAAAGCCTTTAACCTTTTTGGGTGAAGACTGGGCGTAGAGATTCAAGCTTATGCCAAAAGGAGAATATATACAATTACGTGAAAGGAGAACATACACAATCACGTGAGGAGACTGCTTCCCCCAAAACAAAAGAAACCTGAGCTGAACAAACAAAATGAAGCTTTCTACCCTTTCCTAACGACCGGTTCTGGACATCAAGCATGCTTCTCTAACCCAAAACCCAAGTAAGCTTGGCCGTCGTAAGACAAAATCAACCCCTGTCCAATCAAACAAACCATGAACCGTAACAAATCCTAAGGGAAACCTATCGAGATCCTAAAGCAAAAACTGCTTTCTGCAAAGGAGCCACCAGACATTGAAGTCGAAAACCAACATTAAAACGATGAATCGCTAGATCCTCCAGGCAAACAAGCAAACCAGATGGCTACTATGAAGGAGCAACATGGAATCCTCCCAACCTGAAAACAGGACAGCAGCAAAAGGCATTCCAGATCGACCTTCGAACCAACACCGCTTGAAGAACTTCACCAAGTTTACTTGAAACAAAAACTAAAACTAAAAGTGAGAACTCCATCCAAAAGTCGCGAAGGCCCTTAAACTGTTTTGAAGCTCTCCTCGGAAGAAGAAAAGGAAAGAGACCGCTGGAAAGCCAAATCATGAATAACACCAGCAGACCCAACAACAGAGGCGGAGGGAGCGGGGTACCCCAAAATTCTAAATTTATGCATATATGTTTTTTGTTTTACTTTAAAATTTTATTTTTATTTTTAAAAATTTATAATTTCATCTTCTCAAATATTAAATTTTTCAATTTCATCCCTTCAAACTTAAAATCTTAACTTCACCACTGCCCTACAAGAACTGTCACACGCCTTTACAAGGGAAGAAAAAGCCAAGACTACCTGAATAACGAGAGAATCCTTTCTATCAAACTTGCCAAAAGTAGCCATGGGAGCGAGGAACAAACCCCTTGGTAACAACAACATCAAAGCAACAAAACACAACGATCGTCCACGTAGAGCAACCAAAACAACAACCACCAGGACCATCATTCATGCCAACACAAAGGCTCCTCCCAGATCTTGAGTCAGTATCAGACCCTAACAGGAATTAAAGGAGAAGAACAAAAGCAGCAAGCAACCATAAGATGAAGTCACCCACCATCGCAATCAACCATCAACCTGTTATAGTTGAAACAAAAAACAAATGTTCAAAGCATTGAAAGAAGAAAAATGAAAACAGTAATGGAGAGAACTTAGTGAACATTGATCATCATCATAATTGAAAGAGATACCAGTATTTATATATAATATGCATGATTAACACTTGTACAGAACCACCAAGTGCTTAACATGAGATTAAAGTTAACATGCAATGCTTACACATTCAAGGACATGTAGCAGCGACATAGACTCTGGTTTACTAAACCAATAGAACAAAGCAAAATGGACACATGTCCAAAACTTAGTTAAACAAGAAACAAGACTCGAGCTAGTTTTTATCTCAACACTCCTCTTAAACACTAGCTTGATGAACATTCAGTTTGTTTCTCAGTTCTTCAAACCTGGGCAAAGGTATTGGTTTAATCAAAATGTCTGCAAGTTGATCACTAGAGCTGCAACATTGAATGGATATCTCTTTGTTCTTCTCAGCTTCTCTCAAGGCATGATATTTAACCTTGATATGTTTTGTCCTGCTGTGAAAAACAAGATTCTTCACCATAGCAATGGTAGGCTTATTATCTACATACAGTTTAGTTGGGGGCACACGAAGAAAACCAAGATCAGTTAATAATTTCTTCACCCAGATGGCTTGATTTGCAGGTATAGCTACTGCTATGTACTATGCTTTTGCAAAAGATTGAGCAGTTGTCTCTTACTTCTTTGAGTTCCAGCAGAAAGCACCATTTCCAAGAGAAAACATATATCTTGAAGTGCTCTTGCAGTCATCAATACATCATGCCCAGTCACTATCAGAGAAGCCAACTAAATCAACTGATTTTGCATCAGAATAAGTGAAGTGAAAACCTAGATCAGTAGTCCATCTCAAATGTCTGAGAACTTTTTTAGCTGTTGAAAAATGTTCAGTTGTACGTACCTGTATAAATCTCACAAATAGTTCACAACAAACATCAAATTAGGCCTTGAAGCACAGATATAAAGCAATGATCCTATGAAACTTCTGAATGATGAAGGATTTTCAAGTTAGAGCCCTTATCAACTGATAGCTTCTCATGAGTAACAAAAGGAATTCCTACAGTTTTGCACTCACACATATTAAACTTGTTCAGAACTTCAACAATATAACTTGATTAAAGTACATGGATCCCTGCATTGTCTTGAAGAATCTGTAATCCTAGAAAATAGCTCATCTGTCCAAGATTAGTCATTCTAAATCTGGTTTGCATTTCAAACTTGAATTTTGCAATTTTTTCTACATTTCCTCCCGTAACTAAAATATCATCTACATAGAATAAGATGATTAATGGATTTTGGACACCTATTTTCTGTACATATAAGGTTGCTTCATTGCAGCTTTTCTAAAATCCTTGACTCTTCAAATATTCATCAATCTTGCAACACAAGGAATGTGGTGCCTGCTTCAAACCATAAAGAGCTTTATGGAGTTTATACCCCTTGTCTCTGTTGGACTCAATTTCAAAGCCATAAGGTTGCTTGATAAATATTTTTTCTTGCAAATCACCATTCACAAAAGCTGACAAAGCTATCAGCAATCAAATGGTATCCATTCTAGCAATTGGTGTAAATTTCTCATGGTAGTCCACGTTAGGCAACTGAGCAAAACCTTTAACTACAAGCCTTACTTTATTCTTGTTCAATGAACCATTAGAATTAAACTTCTTTCTGAACATGACTTCACTCCAAGAACATGATGATGTTTAGGCTTATCCACTAACTCCATGTCTAGTTAAGATTTATCATTTTTAACTCTTCTTTCATAGTTACTTTCCATTCTGATGACTTAAATGCTTCTTCAGGTGTAGTAGGCTCAGACAATGCCATATTACAACTTTCATAGATATCATGTAAAAATCGAGTGCTTTTCACAAGAGGCTCATCCATTATCTATTCATTGTCAAGCATCTCTTCACTATTGATCGGATGGAAGTCAACATCTGCATTTGTAATTCTGGTATATCGTACTTGATTGAGCTCCCAATTCTAGTAGGCTCTTTCATCAAATGATACATGTCTGCTAACAGAAACTTTACCTGACTCAATCTCATAAATTCTGTAAGCTTTGTATTGTTGACTATAACTAATGAAAATTCCCATCTTTTCCTTGGGCTACAACTTATCTTTAAGTTCTTCAGGCACATGTTGATAACAAATAGATCTAAAAATCCTTAAATGATCTACAAAGGGCCTGATATTATGCCAAGCCTCATAAAGAGTTTTCTTGTTGACAATTTAAGTTATCAAGATGTTTTGCAAGTGAACTACAATGCTAGTTGCTTCAACCCAAAAGCTCTTTGGAAGCATTTTTTCAAATATAAAGCACCTAGACATCTCAACAATAGTTCTATTCTTTCTCTCATTTACACCATTCTGTTTAGGACAGTATGGAGCAGTTAATTGATGAAGAATACCCTTATTTTCCGAATAGCTTGTGAATTCTAAAGAAGTATATTCTCTTCCATTATCTATCTTTAAAGTCTTGATCTTGCAACCAAATTCATTCTCAACTATGGCTTTAAATTTTTGAAACATAAAAAACACTTTTAACTTGTGCTACATGAAATAGATCCAAGTCATTCTAGACATGTCATCAATAGAAATAACAAAGTATCTACTTCCATTTAAATGTATTTGCTTCCATTTAAAGAAGGTTTACTCATATGTCCAACAACATCAAAGTGAACTAAGTCTAGTTTGTTAATTGCTCTATTCAAGCT